CAACCCTGGGACGCCCGGTGCAGCTGGACCGGCTGTGGCGGCTGCACTGAGTGCATGCTTCCTCAGCCGGTGTGCAAGGCATTCTGTGAGGACAAGACCCAGGCCTGGGATACCAAGTGCACCTGGGGGGGCTGCAACGGCTGCTCCGAGTGCTCTCTCCCTGCGCCGGCGTGCAAGCCGTATTGTGAGGACAAAACACAGGCCTGGGGTGACAAGTGCACCTGGCAGGGCTGCAACGGCTGCTCCGAGTGCGGCGCCGAGTCCGAGTGCAAGCCGTTTTGTGAGGACAAGACGCAGGCATGGGATGACAAGTGCACCTGGGAGGGCTGCAACGGCTGCTCCGAGTGCTCTCTCCCTGCGCCGGCGTGCAAGCCGTATTGTGAGGACAAAACACAGGCCTGGGGTGACAAGTGCACCTGGCAGGGTTGCAACGGCTGCTCCGAGTGCGGCGCCGAGTCCGAGTGCAAGCCGTTTTGTGAGACCAAGACGCAACCATGGTCGGCAAAGTGCTCATGGAACGGCTGCTCGGCCTGCGGGGACGTGTGCAATGCGTGCAAGCCCTACTGTGCGATCAAGACGGACCCGTGGGATATGCTCTGCAGCTGGAACGGCTGCTCTAGCTGCACCGAGTGCTCCGTGTCCCCGCCGCCATCGGTGCCGCCACCGTCACCGCCGCCACCGACACCGCCGCCACCCATGCCACCACCGCCCTCTAAGCCACCCTCCATCCCCCCCTCTCAGCCACCATCCACGCCACCCTCCAAGCCGCCCGCTGAGCCACCATCTACGCCACCCTCCACGCCGCCCTCCGTTCCGCCCTCCACCCCGCCCTCCACCCCACCCTCCGCACCGCTGTCTGCGGCTCCCACGACTGCCGCCCCAACCACGGCAGCTCCCACGACAGCGGCTCCCACCACGGCAGCTCCCACCACGGCAGCTCCCACCACTGCGGCTCCCACCACGGCGGCCCCAACCACGGCTCCCACTTGCGTCATGGTATCTCGGGCAGGGCGGCTGTGGTGTTTACCCGTACATGGGGAATGGGGGATGGGAGATCGGCACCGGCACCGAAGACGACGCCATCAGCTACTGCCTCGCGAACCCTGACTGCATCAAGGTGCAATGGGACTCGTCGGGCAACATCTTCGTCTCGGGCGTTTTGGCGAGTGCAGAAACATAATGCGTATACGTAGTACGTCAGCGCCTCCAGGCTGTGGCGCCAGGAAGGGGTACGTATGCGGATACATGATACGTCGTGCGTAACGCGGTCGTCGATGCGCATGAATTGGTATAAAATTATGCTGCGTAAGTGCGGGGCAGGGCCAACATTGAAGTATTCTGTGCTGTTTTCGAAGGAAAATATGCGCTGTGAGCAGGACCGGGGCGAGTGCCGGACTTCGTATCTGCTGTATTTTCATAAGTAGCTATCTCTACGCACCAGGTTACGCACCCGAAACCAGAGCATAAGGCGATGCGTATTCATTTTGTGGGTTGGGCATATCGGCATAGCGGGACCGATCACGATTGTCAGAGGTGCGGCAGGCGGGCGCCCACTCACCGAGATATCAAAAAAACGCTCGGCCCAGAATAGAGAATTCCTGGGGGCGGTGGGGCCAGTTTTGCTGCGTATGGCTGCACTGCAGCAGCTCAGCCACCCTTAGGTACGGCTTTAAGATGGCTGTGTAGGAGCCACAGATGTTTTTGCAACTTTTTGTGTTCCCGCATCGCGGCACACAGCGTCTCAAGCGGCCGAATCAGTCTACAGCGCGCGTGTGCAGCGAGCGTGGCCGTGGGCGTGGCCCAAGCAAGTGGAGTCGCGTGGTGGTGCTGCGGCGGCGGAGCTTGGGGCCACCCGCCTCAGTTGCGCCACTCCTGGACCGTCTTGACAAAGAGGTTGGCCGACGGCTCGGGGGTGGTCGGCTCGATGCCGTGGCCGAGGTTCATGATGTGCGGCCGACCAGCCATCTTCTTGAGGATGTCCTGCGCGCGGGGCAGCAGGGAGAAGACTTGGAGGAGTAATAGGAGTGAATGATGCGGATGCTGACGCCGCTGCTGAGCTCAGCAAGAGTGGCGCTAGCTGTCGCAGGAAGCAGGCTGAGACTCAGAGCAGCAGTCACTCCTGCGCGGCGGCGACGATCTCCTCCTCCGACCCCTCGGCGAGGAT